GGGGGGGAGGGGGGAGGGAGGTGCTGGCGGCCGCCGGAGCCTGCCGGGGCCTCATGCAACACGCCGTGCCGCCAGGACAGCCTGTCCACGCGTGACGTGCAACGGCGGCGCCCCACCGTAAATAACTCCCGTTCCCCGGCTGAACTGCCCGTACCTGAAAACACTTTGCTTTGCATTGTTTCTAATAAAAGAGTCTCTTTTAAGCTCCTCGCTTTTCGAGGGGCTGACAGGGGAGCTTGGGGCCCGCTGGAGAATACCGGAGGTGAAGCCAATGCACCACTGCATGGGAGGAACGACTTGTCCTGCACCAAAGTGGAGCGGGGAGAAGTGGGAAGGCCATGAACTGGGGTTCACGCTGCCTTCTGCCTGCCCGCCCCTCAAAACCTGAGCACTCGGGTTAACCTCAGCCTCGGTGCTTTCGCATCACCTGGGCGCAGCACCGATAGCAGGAATACCTACCGGTGGTAGAGCACTCGCGGCAGCATCGCCAGCAGGCGTCAGGGCAGCGGAAGGGTCTCGTGGCCGTGGAGGACATGCCGTGGAGTCATATAGCATCTCTCCTGCATGACCTGCGGGGAAAGCAGTGCCAAAGATCACAGGGCATGTTGTTGCACAGTTGTGTGTTTACGTAATCTCTTTGCATGAAATAGCTGCCCATCTTCCCTAGTTTACCGGTTTGCTTGGCCACTTGTCTCCATTTTGTCTTCGTCTGTTAGGAGGGCGTCGGAGGCCCGGGGATCTCAGTTCCCCTTGTGCACCGCAGCCCCTGGGGCGAATCCGGACAGTTCCTCAGCGAGGAAGCTGTCCCCTGCCTGCGTCCCTCCGCCTGCCTATTGTGCCTCACGCACAGGACGTGCACTTCTCTTTTCACAACTTCAGTTGGCCGGGGAGGTTTTACTTTGTGGTGAAGAAACACGCCGTGACCCCGCACTCCCAGACTGGAGTCCGGCCTGCCCGCAATGCCCTACTGGGGGATCCTCTTTAACTGACCTCGCTGCAGCCCCGACACCTTTCTGGGGAGCAGCCGCTGTGGGGGTGCAGGGAAAGCGCTTGGGGGAGCCGGTCCCTGCCCCTTCGCCTCCCCAGGATGGTGCCAGCACTTTGCCTCCAAACATTTGTTCCTGCCCACGTCGCCCCAGCCGCCCGGCCCTGCCCAGGAGCACGGACGCCCAGCCCTGCGCAGCACCCGTGCCTCCGGCATCCTCGCCCTCCC